TTCGGAATTGTTAGTTTTGGTCACACTTTTGCTTTTTTTCCACACTATTTCACAGTGCTGTTACAGACAGCACGCTGCCTTCATGTTACAGCATCAAGAGCAGAGATCACAGGGAGCTGCTACTGGTAAGCTGGTAAAATGCAAAATGCAAAGTAAACGACCCCAAAATTCCGAAGTTGAAGTACAAAAAAATAAAAAGTCCGTAACAAAAACATTTTGTCATAAAGTATTGTAAGAACATTTGGATTTTTGTTTTGTTTTTAAAAGACTTCCTCGACCAGCTCCCTGCTACTTTTAAACCCGTAAAATCCTAAGCGTCGTGGCGAGTCTGGAGGCCAGCACACTCCATCCGCCCGAGCATGAAGCACAGCCTTCCCCAAGGGGTCAGAGCTGAGCACCTTCTTCCCAAGCAGAAGAGCGAGGGAAGGATGGGGATGCTAGGGACCCACAGCTAAGGGAAAACACCCAAAGGCACATGGCAAAACTTACCATGGCCTGCAGACGTGTGGTAGAAATGTCCTGCTGCGGATGGGCGAGCGCTTCCAAACGCCCGGCTCTGCACCGCGGAGCTAATGCGCCCGAACGCCAGCCCCGCGCCTCCCGCTGAAAATGGGACACCGCCACAGCTGCATCAGCCTTTTCTTGCTTTTATTTACCCTCCTGCTCCAGAGCCTTGTAATCGAAGGCAATTCCTGCAGCAACAGCACATCAGCCTCTGAATGTGAATAGGGAAGAGAGGTTGGTACGGGACAGGCTTAGTGACAGCAGCCGGCTCAAGAGAGCGACGGCTCGGGCTGGGATAGGCGAGGCGGTGGGATAGGTGTGGTGGGACCTGCTGTTCCCTCTGCACTTCCCAAGAGCCAACATTTTTCTTTGGTTGCGAGAGGCATCTTCCAGCCCCTCCTCCAAAGCTGGTACAAGGATAAGCCAGTGAAACACAAGGGAGTGACATCTGCTACCGCACACCAAAAAACGGCGTACATACTGAAGGACATGCAAGGGATCCTTCAAAGTCAGGGCAGCACAGGATTTTGTCTCTCCTTGCCTGGACTCATTCCCAGAGTAATCTCTGGAGCTGCTCCAAGAAAACTCTGAAGCTGCTGGAAACTGCAGGGCTGGCACCCCCAGGCGGTTACCCGAGCTCCTCCTGCAGCCCGAACGGCTCCTCTCAGGTCTCCTCCGTAGCTCGCCCCCCAATAACCGAAGAGCATCGTCCCCTGCACACAGGGATTTCAGAGCTCCCCCAACACCGTGGCGGAGTACGGCCCGCTGCTACAGCTGAGGCATCGGCTCCGAATCCCACCGCAGAGGGGCTGAAGCCAGTATGAGGACAGGTTTTTCCCAAAAGTGACATCTTCAGATTTCATTTTGCAACAGGAAGGAATCCCTAGGAGACTTTTCCCCCACAGAGAAAAATCAAGCATGACAAAACCTTCCTGCAGTCAGCAATATTTCTTATGTATGCAGGGTTAATCCTAAGGATTGATGGAGGCAAAGTGAAGCTGCTACTGGTCTTTGGTGCAGTCCTGCACCATTGCAGGCAGCCTGGAGACTTTCCTTCTGGTAAGCTTGGTGCCCTTCATACGTCGTATATCCTTCAGGAATGGCTGTCCCCTCCCACTTTTAAGTTACAGCTAGGAAAAGTTATGGCTAGATATGGCTTTACCCTATATCTCGTTCAGGATAAACTCACATCATTTGCTACGTTGCACAGCTACCCACAGCCACGGAGCAGATTTTACTACTGCCAAGCAGCAAACGAAACCGAACGCTGAGCCCGCTTTGCTCATCCCAGAAATGAGCGAACACAAAAGTGAAGTAGTACTTAAACGTCAGCGGGTTCGGTTGCTGACCCCCAGGGATTTCACTCTGCCACATGCCAGAGTCACGCCACGGATCAGCAAGACGCATGAGCCACCACGGACAAAAGGCTCATTCAGAGCTCCAGCGCTGCATCTGCTGCTGCATTTAAAAGGAGGAGGGAGGGAGTCACAGTCCGAAGCGTTAGAAATATTGAAACTGCGTATGAGGGGAATCGAACCGTGAATGACTCTTGCCCTGCACAACGTAACGGCACGGGCAGCACGGGGACGCGCCGCAGTTACGTGAACACACGAGAGCAGAACGCAACTCGGGGCGGCGAAGGAAGGAGCGCAGCGGCGCGCGCCAGCCAGATGGCACCCTGAGCAAGGGTCTTGGCAGCTACTTCAGAAGAGGCAAAAAGCAGATGTTTCACAAAAGCTCACTTTCCAGGTTTATTAAGTAAAGTTAATTGAATTGTTTTCATTTTGTGGGGATTCCTTTCCGTCTAACCCGATGGGTTAGCAGAGTTGCACAGAATCACGGTTGGACTGTGATAACCCAAATACAACTTTGGCTCATCTCACCGCTGACACATATGGAATGACTTGGGGGCTATTACATGCTGTGTCTGCTTGAGGCAGGTACATGTACAGATCAGCACAAGTTGCAAATGATAGTTTACATCCTTTCAAAACAGAGCAGGGCATTCAGCAAATGCACTGCAATGAGAAGACATATGAAAAAGAAATTATACAGACTTGCAAATACATAAGAAGTTCAAGAGATGCAAGAAACCTCAAACACAAGAAATGTCAAGGGAGGAAAAAACCACTTAATTTCAGACACAATGTGTTCATCAAATGAAAACCCAGCTGTAATTTAAATTCCCTTCAAAATGGGAAACATACAGTAACGCAATTAATGAGAAACCAGGTCTCATCCTGGGAGAGATGCGTCCAAAAACACTGATGCACAAACAGGTTCAGAGTTCTAAGCAAAATGTCCCTGGGCATTGGTGTACTTGACTCTTGGAGCCAGAGCAAAGCAATTCATTACACTTGCTGGACTGCTGGGCCTACTGCTGGGTCGTGGTGGTGTAACAGCACGTAGGATTCCAGGTGTCAGAGAGAAGGCAGCACGCAAACTGCTGGTTACTGGGAGAAATGCCACGGGCCAGATCTCCCAGGGATTGACTAGAGTAAGGACACCTAATTCTGGTAGCCTGGCCTCCACTGCACACAACATTAGTGTAATGTTCTGCAACGTTCTTCAGTTCTTAGCTCACTCCTTTCTCAGCCTGAGTTGTTTCTGTCTTGCGCATGAGCACAACTGGCCGTGCAAAATGATCCAAAAAACAGAAGGGACAGGACCAAAGAAAACTGGCTGAACCTGGGGCTGGCTTTCAGCTCCTATTTCCAAATATCAGTTAAAGGTTGGAAATTTATCTACAAAAGAAATATTATAAGTGAAATAAAAAATGGCACCGTCCACAAAATTAAAAAAAAAAAAAAAAAGGGAAAAAAAGAAAAAATCT